CTGGGGGAAGAGGCATTGGCAGGGCTGCCTGAGGGTGTCCCTGAAAGTCCCTTGTCCCATCTGCTCTGGGTTTCTCAGCTCTTGTCCTCGACCTGGACATGACCCTTGCCGCAGAGGTGGTAGTCTGCACAGAACCATGAGGGCTCACCAGGACAGCACCAAGGGTGAGAGTAAGGATCACAAGAACTATTGCTGGGATCCTGTGCCGGACGCTTACGTCCTCCTTCCTGTTTCATCCTCATGACAACTTTACTGTTACCCATTTGACGGACGAGGAGACCAAGGCTAAGAAAAGTTGAGTTTGGGCCCTGGGTCACACAGCTGGTAAGAAGCAGACAGGGCAGCCAGCTGGGCCCAGACAGCCCGGGCACCAGGCCTTAATCACCACGCAAGATGCTCTGCGGGAGGCACCTTCCAACCGGAATCTCACCTAAAACCTAATTCTTGAAGCAATAATTTGGAGGGATGTGGTTCTATGCCTGCTGCTGCAGGGAAATTGATCCCCTCTGTCCCTTAGATGTCCTTGGGACCAGTCACCATGGCACGGGGCCCTGGGCACTGCTTGGAAGTGGTTGGTGGAGCAACACCTGGGGCAGACACCAAGCGAGGAAGGAACACTTTCTCCTTTTTGGAAAATGCTCTGCTGGGTCGTATCTTTGTGACCTTTGTTACAAATGTCGCTCGACTCATTGATTCCGGCTTCCCTGTGCTGTCAGCTCCATGAGGGCAAGGGTCAGAGTCATTTCTGCTGGATGGTGAACGCCCAGCATTTATCATCTGCCGTGCGGGAGGCATTTGGTAAACATTGTTGACTGGTCCCTCACAGATGTGGGGCATTAAGGTGTCAGCCTGGAGCTCTGGGTCACGGCTGCTCTTTGGGAGGCAGAGCCCCCGGGCACCCCTGGGTCCCAGGCCTGGGTGTTGTGCCGTGAAGGCTGCTGGTGGCCGCCATCCTGGGCAACAGTTGCTCACAGACATCTGCTAGGCTGTGGCCAGACACCAACCCGCTGCTGTTTCTCAAACTCTGCCCTGCCAAAGCCAAAAGTGGGACGAGAGGGGCTGAGTACCGTAGGGTGGGGATCAGGGTAGGCAGAGTCGTGGCTGGCAAGGGCCACACCCAGATAAGCACAGGCTTGCATTGTGTTTTATCTTGAACAAGCGCATGCAACTTTCACATTCTGTTCAATAAAACACTCACATTTGCTTTAAAACATACAACCTAACTTTTCTGTGCTTCAGTCTCTGCATCTGTAAAATAGTGAAAGTAATAATACCTACCTGTGGGATCGCTGGGAGGACCGAATACATTTTCTAATATTGACAGATGTGCCTGGCGCCCAGTCAGCTCTTATTATTATCAATGTTATTGTTCACTGCAGTTACTAATTAGATATCTGTGTCACTTCCACGGGGATGGACCCTCCTTCAGTTTTCAACATACTTTTAAGAGCGCCCACTTTGGGGAGGAAGTGCTTTGTCTCTGTAAATTGTCCCTTGCTAAGTTAGTTATTTATTCCTGTGTAAAAAATCGCCCCCCAAATTAGTGGTTCTGTGAAAACCAGTATTATTATCTCACAGGTTCTATGAGAGGTTGCGTTTTGTCACAGGCTACAGTCAAGGAACCAACAGGGGTGACATTACCGGAGGCTAGACTGGAGGGCGGCCCTGCTTTGGGCTCAGCCAATGGCTATTGGCAGGATTCAGCTTCCTGTGGGCTGTTGGCCCCGACTACCTTATTGCCTTGGGGCTCTTCCTAGGACAGCTTACAGGAAGAGAAAGAGTCTTTTATAATCCAATGGAAATGTGACCTGGGTCTCAGTGAGCTAAAATCAAGATGCCAGCTGTGTCCCTTTCTGGAGGCGCTGGGAGAATTTGTTTTCTCTTCCTTTCCTGTATGTAGAGGCTGCCTGCACCCCTTGGCTCTGTCTTCAAAGCCAACAGTGAAGGTTGAGTCATTCTGATATTGCCTCATTCCCACCTTCCTCCAAAAAAGCCACATCCACTCCCAACTCACCTCTTCATCCTCCTTCACCCACCTTCAAGGACTCTTGTGATTCCATTGGGCCCGTCAGATAATCTAATCTGGACATGCTCCCTGTTTTTAGTTTAATAACCTTCATCTCATCTGCAGCCTTTGTTCCCCTTTGCCATGTAATTCACAGGTTCTAGCCATTAGGATGATTGGGGACCCCCGCCTCCAGGGTCCTTCTGTGAATCTGCATCATATGCCCCTAGGGTCACCCTCTCCCCACATGACACACCTGGCTGCCTGATTGTCACAGTGGTGTCCCAGCCCCCAGAGGGAAAGGCCCTCCCTGGCTTGGCCAGGGGCCAACAGGAAGGTTCATTTATTGTGTGGGAACTGGAAGAGGAGGCAGGTGGCAGCACAGGGTGAAGTGTCTGACCTTGCTTTAAGGCCCCCAGGTGTGCATCCGCCTTCCCAGGGCTGCCCACATGGCCCTGTGGCCCTGCTCCTGGAGGCCACCTGCCTGCCAACCCACTGGAGGAGAAGAAACAGTTGCAGCCTCAAGGGTGTTGGAGTCACAGGAGCAGAGGAAGGCCTTGTGGTTTGGCATCAGACCATTCCTCAGCTCGCCTCCCACTGGGTGACCTTGTCACCCTCACAAGTGTGGGTGACCCCCTAACAAGGGGCTCAGGATCTGGGCCTCCTGGCTGGAAGGTAATAGGTGTGTCAGAGGGGATTTTTGATTTGCCCTGAGGCCAGCTTCCAAATTTTGCCTGCATTTCTTGCTTTCTGTGAGGAAACAAAAACAAAAGACATTTCTCCAGCAAGACCCACTCTCTGGGGTTGCAGAGAGAGGCCAGGGATGGTAAGGATTCTGTCTGCGGGACTCTTGTCTGGAGGCCCCGATCTGTGGGTGGTCTGGTCTGCTGGGCGGCGTATTGTCACGCCACCTAGTGGTGAGTGGTGGGACTACGAGAGTAATGGCCTGGGGACTTTCAGCGGGGGACAGTGATCCTGAACTCTTAGCATCACCACAGGTTTAAAAAAATACGTATGCTGCAGACTCACCCCACAACTGGTGCATAGAGAACTCTGAGGCCTAGAAATATGCATTTTAGCTTTAGCATGTAGGTCCCCAAGCCCTATCTCAAAACTCTAAATTACCAGCTTTGGAATAGGATCTGAGAGTCTGATTTTTTTTTTTTTTAAAGCAGGGTCTTGCTCTGTTGTCCAGGCCAGAGTACACCTCACGGTAACCTGCCTAGCAGAGCAGCCTCAGGTAGCTGGAACTACAAGTGTGCATCACCATGCTGGGCTGATTTTTCCCCTTAAAATTTTTTTTTATGTGGGGAGGGGGGAGGGCTGGGTGGAGGAAGGGTAATTGGTGGGACCACACTTACGGTGCATCTTACAAAGGTACATGTGAAATTTACTAAATGTAGAATATAAATGTCTTAACACAATAACTAAGAAAATGCCGTGAAGTCTATGTTAACCAGTTTGATGAAAATATTTCAAATTGTATATAAAACCAGCATGTTGTACCCCACAATTGCATTAATGTACACAGCTATGATTTAATAAAAAAAAATTTTTTTTTTTGGTAGAGACAGGGGTTTCACTATGTTGCTCAGGCTGGTCTTGAACTTCTGGACTCAAGTGAACCTCCTGTCTCAGCCTCCCAAAGTGCTAGGATTACAGGCATGAGCTACTTGCGCTTGGCCTGGAAATCTGATTTTTTTTCTAATTTGAGACAGAGTTTATGTTGCCCTCAGTAGAGTGTCGTGACGTCACAACTCACAGCAACATCAAACTCTTGGGCTTAAGTGATTCTCCTGCCTCAGCCTCCCAGGTAGCTGGGACTACAGGCACCTGCCACAACACCCAGCTATTTTTTTGTTGCAGTTGGCGTTGTTGTTTAGCAGTCTGGGGCCGGGTTCAAACCTGCCAGCCTCAGTGTATGTAGCTGGCGTCATATTCACTGTGCTATGGGCACAGAGCCATGGAAATCTGATTTTTAATAAGATTTCTCTAGTGTCTCTCATGAGAAGCATGACTTGAATCCACAGATTTAGCTGTCCACAAGATAGTTGAGTCAACCGTGTGGGGTATAAAGTATTTTAAAAGCTGATGCTACATTGGGTAATATTATTAGAAACATAATGTCCAGGTTAAAGGAGGATATAATATAGCAGTTAAAAGCATCTAGATCCAAATCCTACTTTTGTTGCCACCCGTTATGTGACCTTCGACCTCTAAAGTTGGGATAAGAGTACCTGTCCATCAAGATTGCAGCAATGACTTAATGAGATCATGCGTAAAGGGGTTTGGCCCTTAGGAGTTGGGTCCTCTGTTAGAGTCCCCCTGCCTGAGCTCTATTTGGGAGCCCTGTGTCTGATTTCAGTGACATATACATGTATAACGTTGGACCATTAAGTTTTCAAACCCACCCTAGAAAAAAATGCTGCATACCTTATTGGTAAATATCACCATGGTCACCTGATGGCCAAGGGGAGTACTGCGAAGGGGACCATGTGAGGTTCAGCAATTAGGTATGCAGCACTTTTTTTTTTTTTCAGTTTATGGCCAGGGTTGGGTTTGAACCCGCAACTTCTGGCATATGGGCGGGCACCCTACTTCTTTGAGCCACAGGTGCCGCCCCAGGTATTCAGCACTTTTTCTCACATGAGTTTGAGAACTTTTTTTTTTTTTTGAGACAGAGCCTCAAGCTGTCCCCCTGGGTAGAGTGCTGTGGCATCATAGCTCACAGCAACCTCCAGCTCCTGGGCTCAAGCGAGTCTCCTGCGTTAGCCTCCCAAGTAGCTGGGACCACAGGCGCCTGCCACAATGCTCGGCTATTTTTTTTTTTTGAGACAGAGTCTTATTCTGTCACCCTTGGTAGAGTGCTGCAGTGTCATAGCTCACAGCAACCTCACACTCTTAGGCTCAAGTGATCCTCTAGCCTCAGCCTCCCAAGAAGCTGGGACAACACACACCAGCCACAACACCTGGCTAGTTTTGCTATTTGTTTTAGAGATGGGGTCTCGCTCTTGTTCACGCTGGTCTCAAACTCCTGTGCTCAAGAGATCCACCCGGCTCTGCGTCCCAGAGTGAGGCTGTGCTTATGATATTGAACCATCTAAATGAGGATTCTGATTTTCACTTCTCAGATCTGGAGCCTCCTTTGGGGGCTGGGATTGGTCCAGTGAGGAACCTTCGACCCCCTGGAGGCAGGGCTGGGGGCGCCGGGATCTGTAGCAGCACTCCACCCCCAGTGGGAGCTGAGGGCAAGGCAGAGACACTGAACCCTTTCTGCCTTGATGGTTTCACCTGGCGTTTCCCGTGAAGCCCAAGCTGTGGGGGCACCTGTGGGTATCCGGAGTTAATGGCAGGTGGTGTCCTGGTGTAGGAAGACGTTCGTTCCTTTTCTTCTTTCTCTAGGATTTGAGATGGGAAATGGAAGAACAGGGACCCTCCTGGCTCTTCCACTCTGTCCAGACCTCCATTTCCCAACCAACGTACAGCTGGGGCAAAGGGACAACTTCCCCTTTGCTCTTGGAAGGGTCTCTGAAAAATGAACTTGCAATAAAGCAGATGAATCAGAAAAAAGTTACCAAATTCGTTTTAACATGGATACATAGGAAGCCTCAGAAAATGAGGATTCAACTCCCCCACGGGGTCTAGAAGCGTCTGTGCCTTTCTGATAAAATGGGTTACGGGAGGGGGAAGGAGAGTTCTGTTGAGAGGGCAACAAAAAATCAGAGGGGAGGATGGATGGATCAGAAGGAAGATTGTCTGTAAACGGCTTTGGAGTTTAAATGAATCTGGAGATACTATCTTCGTAGAGGCTGCTGGGATGTAGTCACACTCCTGGACTTGGAGGAAAAGAACAATGGTTCTCCGGGGTAGAGCTGGGTCTCTGGCAGATAAAGAAAATTCCAACCATTGTAGGGGAGTCGACGGTGGTTGGGGGTGGGGGGAGGGAGGAGGTCAGAGCGACCATGACGTTTCTCCAGCCTGTCCAGCATGTCAAAATTTGGGATGGAAATATTCTAATTTCCTTCACTGCCACTTTCAGAGCCAGAGAAAGGCCTTGGGGAACATCTCATTCGATCACAGAGGCCCAGGTGGGGTAAGAAATTGGCCCCACCTCACACAGCCTGTGTATGTGGCGGAGCCAGGGTTGGGGTGGGGGACAGTTGGCTCCACCAGGTCACCCAGGCTTGATCGGAAAAGAAAGGCAGGTTGGGTCAGGCTCTGCCTCTCATTTGCTGTGACACTTTGGACAAGCATCCGAAATGCCCAGTTTGTTTCCTACTGTCTATTAAAGAAAAAAAAAAAAAGATGGGGATGGGAGGTATGGCAGGAGATTAGCTGTTATAAGTACTCACTGAACCAGACCTTTCTAAGTCCCTAAATTATCACCTTGTTTTAAGCCAGAAGCTCACAGGGCTGATGGGGCTGTCTTTACCCTATAAACGTGTAATTTACAAAGCAATATCCTTCCAGGTAGAGGGAGGGTATCAGCTTCTGCCCAGGCTGTAATTAACAAGGAGGAAGTGTCTGCCACCCTGGGAATATCTGGCTTCAGGAATTTTTTCTGTAAACAGCCTGGGTGTGGTCAGCCCAGTGTGGATAAGCCCAGGCTCCAGAGGGCAAGTAGCCAAGGCTGAGATCCCAGCTCCCACTGCCTACGGTGGACCCTGGGAAATCTATGTAACCCCTCTGTGCCTCAGTTTCCCCATTTGTCTGATGGGAAAAAATGATGCCTCCCTGAGACAGTATGCCTCTGCTGATGCCATGAAAGTAAATGGGCAGAAGCACACACAGCTGTGATTCTTAAATGGGGACAGTCCCCACCGCTGGGATATTTGGTGTGGAGAGATTTGGGGTTGTCATGACTGGGGGGAAGGACGGTGGTACTGATGTCTAGCCAGTAGAGGCAAAGCAGGAGGTGACCAAGAATGCTGACAGTGCTGAGGCTGGTCTGCTGTAAAGGACAGCACAACTGTGTCATCAACATTGGCACTTGTGCAGCCCAAGTTCAGGACGTCTTTGAATATCAGTTCTGTTTCTGGCACCTCTACGGGCTGCTGGGCACTCAGCCTTAAGTTTTTTCCCTCTGGGTATCCGAGTGCCCCTCACCCCTGGAGTCTGGTGGCCCAGCCCCACCTAGAGGGGAGGGGAGACATCTCTGAGGAAAGAGGAAGCCCTTCAAGCCACATTAGAGAGCCCACTTGCTTCCTGGCACCCTCACAGCCACAGGGCATCCTCAGAATGCTACGAAGTGCCTGAAGTGTGGCTCGTGCAATCGAGGAATGGGATTTTAAATTTTATTTAATTTTAATTAATAATTTAAATAACCACATGTGGCTTGTGACTGCTGTATTGGCCAGCACGGTTGTTCAGCGTCCTGCCTGGACAGCTGGTGCTCCGGGAATTTTTATGTATTCATTCATCTGTCCCTTTGCTTAGTAAACAGCAAGAGTGTGCTGGACACAGTATTGGGGGATGTGGTATAGGAATAGTCACAGTCCCTGCAGGCCCCCCACAAATTACCATAATGCAAAGTCAAGGAATGGAATGTCTCAGAGGAGGCCCAGGTTATATTCTTAGGAATTCAGTGGAGATCCACCCTGGCCCAGGGGGAGTTTGGGGAGTAGGACCTCGCAAAGCTATGCGGGGCAGCTAGCCGAATATCGAGATGCATGAATCTATCTGTGCTCTGCTGAGGAGTCCTTTCGGGATGTGGGTCCCATCGGAGAGGCAGCTGGAGGGTTAGTGTTGGTGGAGTTCAAGTTCTGGCTCTTCTGGCAGTGAAAACTTGGAGAGCTGTAATAGTATATGCCCCCCAGGATTAAAAGGGATATTTGTACAAAGCCCTTAGCACATAGCCAGTGGCTAGCACAAGCACACAAGCAAAATCTTAGCTATTTGTGAGATGAGAGCTGGGCCCCCTGCCCTCCAGACTGGGTCTCTGGCTGCCCTGGCGGCTTATCTCGGCCCTGCATTAGGTCTACCCTTCTATGGGGGCCAAGGCTTTCCTTTCAGGACCATTAAAGACCAAGGCTGCCTGGGCCTTTACTGAAAAAAGCCCTGTCTGGTTCAAGGGACTTGGGAAGAGCTGGCCATCTTACACAGATTTGCTCAGGTTCGTTCCTTCCCCTTGGAAGCTGGCAACGTAGCTCACAACCAGTGTGGCTTTGAACAGGCATCTTGGGTTTCTACCAGACACCTGAGTTCCCAATCAGCTATGCCCTGGCACCCATGGGGCCACCTCATGGGCCCATCGCATCAGTCTTTAGCTTGATAAATCTGATTTAGCCAGAGCAAAGGGAAAGAGGGATATGTTTGCAGAAGGCGGGGCTTCGCGTCCAGCTGTAGCACTAATTGCGTCCGGGGCCAGGTTGAGGACCCTGGGGGTGGGCAGAGGCCTGGCAGAGGTTCTGCTGCCTGATGTCCCCTCAGTACCTTCAGAAGTTGAGCCCCTCACCCCCTGCACTCCAGCCACGTGGAGTCTTTTCAGACATGGGGCTCTGCTTCCCTTGCCGCAGGACCTTTGCACATGCTGCCCCTGCTGCCTGGTATCCTTTTCAACTGCTGAACTCCCCTCTGCTTGGTTTTAACCTCTTGCTGCCTATGTTAAAAGCCCAGATGAAGAGCCCTCTCACTGCCACTCACTTCTGCTCTCAGGGCTCATCACAGTTACTGTCTCCCTTGCAGAGAAGAGTATATCATCCATGTGTCTTCCCCACTAGGTAGGGAGTTAGGCGAGGGACCCATTTGGGCAGGATTTTTTTCACTATTATATCCTCATCATCTAACTCAGGGACTGACTGCCCAGAATGTTCTTGCCCCAGATCTTTGCCAGGCTGGTGGCTCAGAATTTAGGTCTCAGACTCAGGGATCCTCCATCCCCCACTTGAAGTCACTTATCACTGCAGTCCCCAACCCCCAGGCTGCCTGCCCAGTGGTGCCAGTCAGTCAGTGGCCAGGGCCACACAGCAGGTGACTGAGCAGCAGGTGACAGGGTGGCCAGTGAGCAAGCAAAGCTTCATCTGTGTTTACAGCTGCTCCCCTTCACTCCTATCATGCCTCGTCTTGCCTCCTGTGAGATCAGTGGTGACATTCGATTCTCACAGGAGCATGAACCCTGTTTAAACCCCACGTGTGAGGGAGCCAGGTTTTGTGCTCCTTATGAGACTCTAACTCCTGATGATCCAAGGGGGGAGATGTAATGTGCTGAGTCATCCTGGAAACGCACCCCCCACCCCATCCCCTGTCCATGGGAAAATTATCTTCCATGAAACCCGTCCCTGGTGCCAAAAAGATTGGGGACTGCTGCTCTATCACCCTAATCACCTTCTGAAGTCAGTCTCCTCGTCCCTGGTGTGTCTCCCTCTTTACCACATCAAGTTCTATTCCCAGCCGAAAAGCAGCCCTGCCACCCAGGAGGATTTGGTAAATACAGTGTTTGTGGTTGGCTTATAGAAACCAGTGTCCCCAGGCCTGTCTCCAGCATCTTTTCTCGGTTCAGTACATGGTTTCCATCCCAGGGGAAACACACAGCCTGGGAAAGAGAGATTCCATCAGGGCCACTTGGATACCTGGATGGAGCCCGCAGACCAGACCCCTACATCATGCGGTTGGGGCTTTGCTAGGAGGGCCTGCGTGTCTGCCATGACCTTGGTACTCACGTGTGGTTCCCGGGCCAGCTGCATCCCCCCAGATCTTGTAGAAATGCTCATCTTCAGGCCTGACCCCAGACCTCCCAATTCAGCATCTGTATCCCCAAGTCACCTCCCCACCAGGTGATATATGTACCTGTGAAGTCTGAGGGCACCTTCTAGGATGCCTGTGCTTCCGCCCCTCAGATCTATTCTAGCAATGGGAGGAGTGACACAAAGAGAGGGGTCACTTATCAGACGTCCTCGTCCTGGGACAGAAGGCAATGCCCAGACGGGGACTTGTCAAATAGGATGGAGTGCACCTGAATTGCATTTTGAGTCATGACCCTAGTGAGTCCTGCACTGAGGTCGAGTCTTTGCCCCAAGGTCG